AAACCAAATAATTTTAAAATTTCTAAATAACTAAACCCCTTCAGCAGAAATAAACTCTAATATCACGCGCTCTGAAATTTCGGATTTTCAAAAGATTACTCTAATTAGAAAGTCCTCTGTAAAAAAACAGTTAACAACAAATAATAAATAAATTAAAAGGACAAGAACTATATCAACATAGGAGTAAAGAACTAATAAATTACATTCCAAAAAAGCTTCTACCAAATAATTTATTATTCTAATTAATGACTGAAAATATGTACACTTCGTCCTAAAAACTCTTAATTGTAACTCGGTAAAACGTTCTCAAAAAAAACTCAAAGGGCCTTAAAGACAAGAAATCTGTTTTACACCCACCGTCTGTCTCGATCACGATCTCTATCACGATCCCTATAACTACCATACCGACCTCCATAGTCACCATAACGACTCCCTCCGTAACCACCATACCTGGAAGTAAAGTGTTAAGAGGCATTAAAAGCACGCTCAATATGCTTATTTCCATCCCAGCCAGCAGCAGGAAACAAGAATGACTTACCTTCCATAATATCCGCCACCGTAACCTCCATAACCGCCGTAGCGTGAGTATCTTTCTGAAGCGCGTACGCGGGGAAGGGCCACTGAAACTCGTACGCGACAGTTACGAATATATCTAAAAAAGTTTTGTTAACCTGATTCATTTCCCAGCCTTGTACGAGAAAGTAAAGAATGATAAAAGCAAATAAAATAAAAACAGTGGCATCAACAAGTACGTGTTGGAAAAGATTCAAGTCAGAAAGAAGTTAAAACTAAATAAGACTTAAACTGACGTGTTATTCATTGCTGACATAGCTTCCTGCGCATCAGACTTGGACTTGAAAACAACAAAAGCGAACAGCGGTGGATAACTTGCAACCCACACTTCTTTTAACTTTCCATATCTCCTGAAATTGAAAATATTGTAATCACTTTCACATATTTTCATTAGCCAATTAAAAGTTACATTTAAACGCAAAATCACACACCCAAAAGCGTCCTCGAGATCACGAGCGCGAATTGTTTCATCAATGTTTGCAACATGCAGACGACCCTCCTCACCGCGGTCTGGGGAATATGTGCGACTGCGACTTCTTGACTTTGACCGACTTTTCGACTTCGAACTAGAAAGCATATGATAATTTACAACTCTGCAACGAAACAAATGAAAGTATCTAGACAAAAAGAAAACCTTCTATCAGATGTCGATGAGCTGGATGTACTTCCGGAACGTGACCTCTTTCTAGGGGCCATGGCTAAAAACAAAACAATCATTATGAAAAGGAAAAGACATGAAGCAAAGGAGTGAAAAGAACCAACGTTCCGATTCTTCGCTTGGATCTGACATGGTTGAAATCTACCGCAAGAACAACAAGCAACGATATCACCAGGGTAAAAAATGAAGTAAAACAACACAAAAATACGTACTTTTGTAATCAATTACACACTAATTCACAGTTTCCTTTCAGGCCTAAACTGATAAACATATACATCTTATCAGGCTATAAAAATGATAAGGCTAAACAATTATACAATGATGGAAAAGAATGAAATACAGCCGAAAAAAAGAGCACAGAAGCTGGGCAAGGTAATCATAGCAATAGAAAGTTTAATGCCGAAGACTCCCATTAGAAAAAAAAAAAAAAACAAAAGTGCTATCTGAAAATAGCTTCAGAAACTTTAGTGACCAACCGCCAAAAAAAATTTTATTTCCATAGAACTGATGTGGCCCAAATAGAAAGCCGTCCAAACAGTGGTGGCATCATATTTTCCAGATGCTTCCGGACAGTCCTTTGCAACCTCTCTCTTTTTTTCTTTCTTTTTTTGGTGGCAAAAGCACATCGATTAAACTCTCCATTGAAAACAAACGATTACACTGTGGTAGCACGAAAAACATAGCGGTGAATTCAACGATAACAACGACCAGAACAAAATCGACATCCAATAAAATAAAAATATATATATATATATGTCCAACAAACAACTAACATTTATACTCTGTTCATTCCGTAGCATCAGACCGAAATTGTTTAATCATAAAGTTGAACGGCTAAACATCAGATTTCAAGAACAATTCCGTTAAGCCATAGAAAATGAGCAGCAACAACAACAAAAATAACAAAAGCCAACTATGCCCACTAACAGCTCATCAAATAATCACTTAGTGGAATTTCACTGAAAATATAATTCAAGTTTTTAATGAAAAATAAAATTAAATAAATGAACAATACAACTTAAACCTTAATATATAATCGGTTAGAAAAAAAAAAAAAAGGACAGTAAAAGATACCAATAAATTTACAGCTAAAATTAACGAAAAAAAATAGTCCTTTGTTTCTCAAATAACAACAGAGGAGGGAAAAGAAGCATAAACTATTGAAAAGTACACAACTAAACCATAAAATAAATAAAAAGAAATATGATTTAAAAAAAATTGCTGCAACAACAATTCCCGAAATCTTTAAAAGGCAAAACACAGAAACGTCGCGTTACGCACGCGTTTCACTCCCCCCTCCCCTGTGCGCTCCCCTCCCCCAACAGATCTCCCCTTACACATTTGCGGTCACAAAACCCACCAAAATATACATCATTTTTTAGGGGAGGAGCTGTTGCCGACGAATACGTTGCCGCTATTGCAGCTGTTACCGCTACTAATGCTGCTGCAGTTGCTGCTGCTGTTGTCGTTGCTGTTGCCTTTGCTGTTGTACTAACCGCGTTCGAATGGCGTTGCGATGTGGTGATGCAGCATGATGATCAATAATCCTCCAATTTTTTACCGGCCAACCAACCAGCCAAGAAACCACAAGCCTACCAACAACTAACCAACGGCGTGACCACTTTGGTTGTCTATTTGGCCTAATTGGTGATCGGTTCTCCGGCAGAAATAAAACGAGAGGATGGACGAAACAAACTTGTTGCCTGTATTTGTATAGACCCTATACCGTTCATTGAATCGTACAGGCGATAATTTCTTTCTCAGAAAAAAAAAATCTTTTTTTCTTTTGCATGAATTAAATTGCTATTTTTTTGCAGTTAAATTTGCAAACTGTCTTTACAAAATTTTTTTTTGTTCTA